CTTCCCCAGCACCCCCTGCTCCCCAGCCCCCTCCCCAGCACAGCACGGCACACTCAGGAACTTGGCATCTTTTGGGAGGGGGATGCAGAGGACATGCCATCCTGGGGCAGGGGGGTTGGCAGGGGGGCCAAGTTCCCAGGGCAGCACTCCATGCGGCCTCGTTACCGGGTCCCACAAGCCCAGCTCCCGCTGGCTCATTCTGGTAAAGCCCGTGGTAAAGATGTGTCCTTCCCGTGTGAAGATGGCCCGCACAGGCCTCAGCCCTTCGTGGGGGGCAAACCTCTCCTGGGGGGAGGGGGAGACAGTCAGCACGGGACACGGGAAGGGGGGAAAACGGAGGGGGTCCGGATCTGTCCCCCAAAACAGCCGCCGAGTCCTATTCCATGGCGCCGCCTGAGCGCACGCGGTGCCAGAGAGCCTCCCTGGCACCCAGAGCGTTCCCTGTAGGGCTGAGATCCCTGGGGTTTGCGCTGGCCGGGCTGGAGCCGCCGTCTCATACCAGGTCCCAGAGGCCCAGCTGCCGCTCGCTCATCCTGCTGAAGCCCGTGGTGAAGATCTTGCCATCGGCCACGAAGATGGCACGGATGGGGCGGGTGCCGTCGTGCGGTTTGGTTTTCTCCTGCGCCGGCGTTAGCGGGTTAAATCAAACAGAGACGCGCGGAGCGGGGTTAGTAGGGTCAGGCAGGCGCTGGGGGGACCCCGCGGTGGGATGAGGGGGGACACAAGCAGGGGCACTCACCGCTATGATCTGCTGCTTGCGGGGGTCGATGACACGGACCTTCTTGTCCTTGCAGGTGGTGACGAGCAGGCTGCCGTTGCGGTTCCAGCCCACGTTGTAGATGAGGTCAGTGTGCATGTCATCCAGAGCCAGCAGCATCTCCCCAGTCCCCACGTTCCAGAGGATCACCAGGTTGTCACAGCCTGCAGAGGACCGAGGGGGCAGATGCTGTCACTCCATGGATCTCCCGTGACCCCGGGGAGGGTGACCCGGGACCCCCTTACCTGCGCTGAGCAGGACGTTGCGGGCGGTGGGGTGCCAGGAGATGATGCTCACCCGCTTGGAGTGTCCCTCCAGTGTCACCACAGGCTCCGTGATGTTGCGCACGGGGACATAGTCAGGGATCTGCCACACCTGGGGGGAGGACAGAGAGCTGGGCATTGGGGATCACCCCGTGTGTGAGCACTAAGAGGATGAGGGCCTCAGAGCCAATTAACCTCATCATTAATCCCGGCTCAGCCTGCGGGGAGGGTGGCAAGGAGACACCAGAAGCGCCTCCATCCTGGGGTGCATCCCCAGCACACGGGGTGCTGGTGGGCACAGGGAAGGGGGGCACAGCTGGGGTGCAGCCCCCAGCCCCCCCCAGCTATTCCTGCGTGCTGAGTCGCCAGGGAGGGTATATTTAGCACAAAGTGCTGCATCATGGAGCGAGCAGCCGCCGCCAGCGTGAACGCATGGCACCGGCGCTAAAAATAGGCCAATGACACTTCACAGGCAGCGAGGGGGGGGATGCTCTGCATTGCTCCCCCAGTGCCTGCCACCCCCTCCTCACACGGGGTCCAGCCCCTCACCATGACGGTGGTGTCCTCCGAGGCGCTGGCGATGACGTTGTCATTGTGGGGACACCAGTCGATGTCCAGCACGGGCGCCGTGTGTCCTGTCACCAGCGGGTGGTTCTTGTCCACCCGTCCTGTCTGCAATGGTGAGGGGTTGGGATGAGTCCTTTAGGGGAGACCCTGCCAGGTGCCCCCCAGAGCCCAGCCTGGCCATCACATGGGGTTGTGACACAAATAGGGACACACAGGGGGTTCCAGCGGTGGCCAGAGGTTTGCACCTGCCTTGAAGGGGGAAACTGAGGCACACAGGGAAAATGGGGCTCACCTGGAACAAGGCCTTGTAGGGACACAAAGGGGAAAATGTGACCCATGAGAGGCTGTTTTGTGCCTGTTCTGATGGCAAGGAGGGGTTGGGGACCCTCTCCCAGCCTCTGTGCCAGGGTTGGCAGAGACTCCACTGGGTGCTGCTCCCTGGGCATGCTCTGACCCAGGGAATTGGGGCTGGGGAGAAGGCAGCTGGGGGTTTCCCAGATCACCTTGGTTGCCCCAGGGATGTCACCCTTGGCAGGTGCCAATGATCACCCAGGTTGTTCCTGCCTTGAGTCCCCACATCAGGAGAGGGTGTTGGGGCAAAGCTGGGGGCTCTGGGGCCACAGCGGCTCCCCAAAAGCAAAACCCATCAGCATGTTCCCCCCAGCACATCTCAGCAGCGTGGCCCAGCATTCTCCCCACTCACCTTGGCAAGAGGCAGGACAATGAAGGCCCCACCACCACCGGACTCCACAATGATGGCCACAAACTTGGGGTTGACAGCGCAGAAGGAGCTGTCACATGTCACCTTGGAGACACGGATGTCCTCGTACATCTGGTCTGCCTTCACCGGCTGCCCGAACACGTGCCGGAACTTGCTCTGGCGCACCACACGGCGGCTCATGGCTGTGGGGACAGGGTCAGGCCACCACCTGCCACCCTGGCACGGCTTGGAGGGGTTTTGGTCCCCTCAGGCCTTGTGCTCTGAGATATTCCTCCTACTCTGGGCACAGCAGGAACTCTGGGAACATTGAGGTGCCATGGAGGGCGAGGATATGAGACGTGGCCCTGACCCCACATGAGGGAGCTGGGGCATCCCCTGTGTGGGGATGTGGGGGTGCTGCAGGTGCTGGGGACTCTCAGCTGGTGGCCAGGGCCACTTGACACTGGGCAGGGGCATGGCCATGACATCATGTACAGCTGTGCTATGCCCTATGGCTGTGCCATGTCCTACAGATGTGCCATGCCCCACAGATGTGCCATGCCCCACAGATGTGCAATGCCCCACAGATGTGCCATGCCCCACAGATGTGCCATGCCCCACAGATGTGCCATGCCCCACAGATGTGCAATGCCCTGTGGCTGTGTTGTACCCCACTGCTGTGCTGTGCCCCGTGGCTGGCACTGGGGGTGGCACATGAGCTGCTGCAGTGGAGTAGCAGGGCACAGGGAACTTTGGGGTGGACATAAAATTGCACCAGGTCACAGATAGTCCCCTTGTGTCCCATCCTGCATCAGTGGCCTGAGGTTGCCTGGCTTGACCCAGCACCTGGGAGGAGGGCTCTGCCTCCAGAGTTGCCTGCTGGTGGCTCATGCCTCCCTGCATGGATCCCTGTCCTGTGCCATGGATCCCTGTCCTGTGCCATGGATCCCTGCTACCCACTCTGCACCCCCACCTGGGCAAGGGCTGGACCTGGCACACAGACACAGCCCCACAGGCACACTGGGGTGTCGAGGAGCCCCCCACCACGGCCCCCATGGTGTCTCCAGCCCTCAGCCACAGGTGGGCACGATGCTGTCACCCATCTCTCCCCCCAGCCTGTGCTGCTCCTGGGACCTGCCCCAGTGGGAGACTGAGACACTCAGGACCACAAAACTCTTGGAGCTGGGGCTCTGCAGCACCCATGAGCCGCTGGCTACCCTGGTGAATCCCCCGTGCTCTTCTGGATTCACAGCCATTGTCAGGAGCACATCCAGCTACCAAGACATGGCCAGGCACCCCTGTCCCCAGCCCACAGAGCCAGCGTAGAAGCAGGAGCAGATCTGCTCCTCCACGTCCCAGCCGGTGGATTTTGTATAGGGCACACGCAGCTCCCTGCCAAGCCACATTCGCCCAGTCCCTGAGTGTCCTCGGAGTCCTCACAGCACTCCAGCATCATCTCTGGTTTGGCTGAACGGCTTGGAGCTGGGTCCAAGGGGCCAGAGCCCGGCTACCAAGAGGGACTGGACGACGGCACTGCTGGTGTCACCCCCTGAGTGTCCCCAGCCCCGGGGAAGAGCGAGCAGGCTCCGCGGGGACCAATGCTCCCAGCACCTCAAGCATTGCCGGGAGCTGGGGTGTCAGCATGCAGGGAAGGAAGGGACGGCCTGCTTGGGCAGGATGCAGGCACGGGGTGGGGTGCAGATGTGGTGCAGGCAGAGTCGGGCAGGGTGCAGGCAACGTGTAGGGTGCAGGAGGGGTGGGTAGGAGCAGGTGGGGCGCTGGCAAGGTGCAGGCAGGGCTGAAAAGGGTGCAGGTGTGGGGTGCAGGCACGAGAGCTGGGTGGGGTGCAGGCAGGGCGCAAGTGGGGTCGGATGGGGTGCTGGCAAAGAGGTGGGGTGCAGGTGGGGTGCAGGTGGGGTACGGGCGGGGTAAGGGCAGGGTACAGGCAGGATACAGGCAGGACAGCCCCGCTCCCCGGCCGTGCCATTACGTT